GAGTGTACCTTTTAAGGGTAAGTTAGCCTGCGACCACGGGAATCGACCGCGTCGAGTGTTGGATCAGTACGGACATACGAAGGTACTGGGTAGAGAGAGATCGGAACGGTTTTTAATGTGAAGACAACAACAACAACAACAACAATGCGTTTGCCATAAACGGGGGATGTTACTGCACAATCTCGCCCAAAATCGTGCGTTGATCGAAGTACATTCTTTGGAGAGTCAGTCCGAACGGACGATCAGGAACAGCAGTGCGGTTGAAGTTCCCCTTAGCAACGGTGAAATTTCAATAGGCCACGTATGCGTGGAAGAAAGAAGCGCGTGCATGTTACATCTGGAACTTGGACTTATGCCAAATATTGAGACCCACCCGCCGACCCCTCTCACGCCATGGGGTCTTGATTTCCTCCCGCCCCCACCGCCGGTGCCTTGCAGCGCCGAAGCGGCCCAATGGAAGCACCAACAATCTGGGGACACCACTCCCTTCTACGACCCCTTCAAGGGCTGGCCCAAGACCGAGCAGGAGCAGGAGAAGATGAAAATGCGCGAGCTCAAGAACGGGAGAGCGGCTATGCTCTGCTGGGCGTCGTTCATCTCGGCCGCGCTTATCCCGGGGTCCGTGCCCGACTTCGCCCTCCCCTTCTAACCGAACTATGGAAACACAAGGGACGATCAGCGAAGGAAGTCTCGTTCTCTTTTAGTGCCGTAGCCTTCTTGTAAAAATACCCGAGCCGACATTTGTTCCTTTTCCCTATTTCGGGGGGGTAAGGGAGTCCGTGACTTGTTGTAAAGAGACGAAAGGAAAAAAGCCCAAGGTGTATTTAGACGATCAATCTTGTCGGCTGAGCGAGGAAATGACAAAATGTTGAGACTCAAAGAACAACCGGTAAGGACGAGTTTGTTGAATTTGCCTTCCTCGTGTTGGAGGCGCTCGGAACGTATTTTGTGCGGGAGAAGTGCTCCCGGTTTTCCCCCCTACCCCCCCCCCCCCCCCCCCCCCCCCCCCCCCCCCCCCCCCCCCCCCCCCCCC